GTCGCCCCGACTGCCGCAGAACGCGCGGGCCATGGGCACCTCTCTTTGGCTCTGGCTCGACAGGCGCTTTGCTCCGGCTACGGCTGCGCGCCTTCACCGGTCCCGCGTCGCTGTGATTGGAGTGCAGCAACTCTGCATGTTGTCCTCCACACTGGTCCCGCGGTGAGCTGCAGTTTAGATTCTGCTCGGCAGCCTCATGGAGAGTTTCTGGTTCGCTCTCAGAGCTTGACCAGACCTCACGCTGAGCCTCATTCGCAGTCTTCACCAGACCTGAATGGCGTAACTTATCGAGTTGCGGATGCACACGCATTCCCCCCCATAGTTCTTTTACTTGCGAATGTTCAGGTAATGCAGATATACAAACTGCCATATCATTGGGTTCTTATTAGGGCCTATATTAATTCGGACTATACTGAACAACCAAAGGGACCCCTATGTCCAGCCTTAATGATCCCTTGGTTAGGCTAATTTGCTCTTGTTGATAGTAGCTAATATAGCTGTATAGAAGGGAATGCAAGTTTGGAGACTGTACAATAGTTCAAAGCCTAATTAGCGGCAGTTTAGGACTCTTTCGTATGTAGACCACCTTGTGGGGTGGGATCGGGTGAGGTTGCCAGGATTCTCCAGTTTCTTTGTATCCCGCGCGCGCTACCTGGTAGTAATTGCAAAGTTGTGCAGGCTTCTCTAGCAACATGCTGGTCGTGAATCAATTTTCAGGCCGAAGCCCATGTCCATTCTATGCATCCAAATTGTAATTCGCAGCGGTACTGTTACAGTAACTACGAGCAAGACAAACGTATTTGTAGCAATAGCATAAACTGTGAAAGTGAGAATGCGGCATAACAACAGAAAACCACACTTTTTGCTTCGAGTATCCCCACACTGGGGTTGCGCAGCACTTGGGCTTGCAGGTGAAGGCTTTCACTCCTCGTACGTTTTCAACGCTACGATGCAGGATTCATCTTCCGGTGCTAGAACCTTTGCGGGCCCATAGCCAAGATTGCAAATATGTTCCAACGGTTTTCTTTGCACTGCTATGGTGCTTGCAAAAGACACTCAGCATACGTACGTTTCCCCCCAAAGCTTGAACTGACTTCTTGCATCTATCGGATAAGTTCAGGGTTTGATGCCCCTCCGGCTACGAAAATGTTCAACATGTTGTTCATGACCGTATCGCCCGTATCACTATATTGCAGGAATACACTCGCCAAGATGGAGCACGTTTCAGTATGTGTCCCCACGCAATCTGCTTCGAGGGGCCGCAGCCCCACAAATGTGCACATCATGAACGAAGATGGAAATGTGTGGGCCTTTATGATGTTTACTGCCTACAACTACTTACATATTATGTCATTTACAAATGGGTCCGGTTTGCAAACATGGACTGAGATGCATGTAACAGGTTTTCTCAGGAAATTTCGAAGGCATTGGTTTTTCTGCGGCTATTCTACCTGGCATTTACAGAAGCGGGCCCCCCCGCTGTGTGCTAAATATTCAGGAGCATGCGAACATGTACATGTCGAGGTACTTGTGATGGGATGCGCACCCGTTCTGCTTGGTATTTCCAGAAGAATGGGGGTTGGCGGGGCGCCGCCTCCCCCGTTTGCAAATCATGAACGAAGATGCTAACGTGCTGGCTGTTGGCAGGAATTGATGCAGTTTTGCATCGACTGTTATCTGTGCCATTTACAAAAGCCGGGGTCTGGAGCCGATTTGCAAACATGGACATAGATGCGTCTACCTAAAGTGTTTCTTGCGAAATTGCGATGGCATTTGCTAGGCCGTGTCTGGCTTCGCGCTCGTGGAAGCACGAATCTGCTTTTCATCTGAGCATTTTTGGAGCACATGGAAGTTACTAGGATCCCTCCAGAAAGGTCCATGCGCTAAATCCTGTTGGACACCCTGAAAGGAAAATGCCTCGACATCCAATGCCCCTAAACCCTACCCAAGAACCTTAATTAGACCCATAAACCGAAACCCTAGAGCCCTAGAAACCATGCTTGGGGGTTCATGGGACTTAGGAACTATCTATGATTGGGCTTCACCACCCCAAAGGTAGGGGTATAACTTCCGTTTTTAATAGTTTCTAAGTCCCGTGAACCCCAAACCATAAACCCGATACATCCCTAGAACGCCTTGAAAGGACCGAGTGCTACGACAAGCAGATGGTCCAGACATGCAGCTTCTCCCAGTATGTATATATCATGTGTACATATATTGTCAACCCTCAGTTATGATTTGATTTGCCATTTTGATTTCTGTTTGATTCTGCATGACCCCAAACATCGATGTACCCAATAGCCAGGTACTCGGGAACCGACACCAGATATTGTTGTACAGGTTTTGGGGTTCGGGGAACTACATAGTTATGAGGTGGTCTCAGGCGAGAGAGCGCGATGTTTTAGAAAACCGTGAGAACTCTCCACAGGGAAGCACACATTGAAACGAAAATGCGAAGACGCTCCACACGAGAATGCGATTTTGAACCGAAATCTTAGGACGTTCCTCGCGAGAGTGAACTCTTCTGCAAAGTGCGAAGACGCTTCGCGAACCCTCGCACGCACGAGCATGGGGACGCCTGTATTTGGTTCCGCATGCGCCTCTGAAGCACGTGCTTCATTGCTCCGCACGCGCCGCTTCTTTGGAAATATCCTAGTCCGCCCCAAGAAGGCACGCACACAGAGTCCTTATAGATTTCGGGGTCGCTCACATCAACACAGCACTACTAACGCTCATGTTGCAAGTCGCTGGCATGTACAGAATGTACCTCAGGTGGCAACTGCAGCAACAGCACTGACGCAAACTAACGCTCATATTGCAAGTCGCTGGCATGTCCCGAAGGTAAGTTCAGGTCGCAACTGCAGCAACACTTGCACGGACAGAAGCCTTCATTTTAACGGACGCATCCGTGTCGCGGGGATGTATCTCTGGAAACGGCCAGGGAAACCTTTCACGCATGTCCCAATGGACGTGTCCCGTAGGACCAATGGCTCCCGGCATAAAAGATACCTCACCCCAGGGCGGGCGGGTGGGAAAAAACACTACTAACCTGCAATCTTTGCTGCAAGCTAGACTTTCTAACGGGATCTGTTCCCTCCCACCCACCTCGAACCTGCATGTTACGGGGAAGAGGAACATGTGTAGATGTAGCAAGGAGTTCACACAAGGCGAACACACACACTCCGGTTCGTGACCGGTCGCCTCTACTCCCTGCCCGAAATCCATAAAGAGCTAGTGATTGCATCTCCTGCAGACTTATAGATTTCGGGGTCGCTCAC